GGCTTTCGCGCTATGCTGCACACTTTGGAGCCGAGATTCAGCGTCCAGTCATAAACAATACTCTACAACGAGACCAAAACCGAAGTTATAAAATGACTAAAGAAAACGGGAAGGACGGCTGTAACGCGCTGCGTGGACACTTATTATCACTGGGTCTTATTTCAGGGTAACAGCGCATTTTATCGCAGATGAGCGGCAGCAGCGTCTCTGACTGAGAGCCTTTTAGTTCACTTGCCACATCACCTCCATTTGATTTATTAATAAAAGATATTTTAGATAATTAAAGCAAAGTATTTGTAATGATCCATAATACATTTACATTATGGATCATTACAAAGACTTTGCTTTAAAACTACCAAGTTTTTAGACAGTAGGAAGATGGAAATCCTGTGTAGAGAAAAAAAGATGCATCGATAATCGTTTTATAATCGCATCGCAGCCCTCTGAATCGTAATCGAATCGAATCGTGAGGTGCCTAAAGATTAAAGATGTTAAAATGTGTTCTCATATTTTTGACTTTGAGTTCTTTACTGCAGTCTCTGCTGTCTGCTTCTCTCTGGAACATCCTGTCTTGCCCTGCTTTGTCTTTCCTGGTTTCTGTCTGTCTGTCGTTGTTTATCTTCCCTCACGTGTCTTGCCGTGTGCTTCTTGTCATCTGTGTCACCTGTCTGTTGTCTGTAGCACCGCCCTCTTATTAGTCCCAGGTGTTTCTGGTTTGTTCCATGTGTATTTATACCTTTGGCTGTGTGCTTTGTTTTTGCTCGGTGTTTTGTGTTCTCAGGCCCTGTTCTCGTTTTCTCCCGTTTGTTATCTAGTCCTCTTCATGTTCTTTAGTCTTGCTTCCCTCCTGTTGTAGTATTTTGTTAGTGAACGTTCTTATTGTTTTCTGGATTCTTTCATCATCGCTTTCACTAAACACAAGGACTTGCTCTTCCTGCCTCTTCGTCTCCCTCTACGTCACACCCTCCTTCAGTCAAGTGGTACAAATGGAGAGCATAAACGTCATGACAGCTAATCAATTACAAGATTTCTTCCCACAGTTCGTTTTACTATTGACGTTATCGATTGATTAGCTGTTGCAGCTCTACTCTGATAAACATGAAGCCGAGTGCTGAAGATAAATATACCTGAATCCTGAGCACAGAGCTGCTTTATTCCCTGCTGAAAAGAAAAATATATGGACATATATATATGAAATATATTTCACTTACTATATAGGTGCACTTTGTAGTTCTACAGTTACAGACTGTAGTCCATCTGTTTCTCTGATACTTTGTTAGCCCCCTTTTACCCTGTTCTTCAGTGGTCAGGACCCCCATGGACCCTCACAGAGCAGGTACTATTTGGGTGGTGGGTCATTCTCAGCATTGCAGTAACACTGATGTGGTGGTGGTGTGTTAGTGTGTGTTGTGCTGGTGCGAGTGGATCAGACACAGCAGTGCTGCTGGAGTTTTTAAACACTGTGTCCACTCACTGTCCACTCTATTAGACACTCCTACCTTGTCAGTCCACCATGTAGATGTAAAGTCAGAGACGATAGCTCATCTGCTGCTGCACAGTTTGTGTTGGTCATCCTCTAGTCCTTCCTCAGTGGTCATAGGACGCTGCCCACCGGACCCTGGTGGCTGGATGTTTTTGGTTGGTGGACTATTCTCAGTCCAGCAGTGACACTGAGGTGTTTAAAAACTCCAGCAGCACTGCTGTGTCTGATCCACTCGCACCAGTACAACACACACTAACACACCACCACGTCAGTGTTACTGCAGTGCTGAGAATGATCCACCACCCAAACTACAAAGTGCACCTATATAGTAAGTGGAGCTGATAAAATGGACAATGAGAATAGAAACAAGGAGGTGGTCATAATGTTATGCCTAATCAGTGTATATATTAGTGTTTGGAATGTATTTCAGAATGGACTGCACTGTACTTGATATATATATATATATATATATATATATATATATATATATATATATATATATATATATATGTATACACATATTTCTTTTTCCATATGGGAGTAAAGCAAGGCTTTCCAAAGGAAGGCAAGGCGGTTCCTGAGCGTTATCTAAGGCTTCAGCGGTGAATCATGTAAACATTGATTTAGCTCTGTGTAATAGAGTTAGAGGTCAAAGTACTGAATGACTCCTGTGGAACTGCAGTACACTTTACCTCCAATAGGGGCAGCAAAGCAGCAGCCAACTCCAACCGCACACGCCGCAGAGAGCATCTCCGTATTCCTCAGTTCATTCTGCAAGAGAGCACACACACACACACACACACACACACGCACACACACACACCATACACACACACACACACCACAGACACACAGAGACATACACACAGACACACGCTGTGCAGAGCTTTCTAAGGCAGTATTATGTAACGCAGAAGAGGTGATTAGACTGAACTGAAAGATACACTCCACTCTTAAAAAAGACGGTTCTCTAAAGTTCTTTAGTAAACACAGTGGGTCTATACAGAACTATCTGCATGCTTAAACAGTTCTTTGGTTCTTTAGATTGATGGAGGATGTGTTTGGTTCTATGTACCACCAAAAAGGGCTCTGCTACTGTTACAACACTGACATCATAACAATAGCAGAACACGTTTTGGTGCTATATAGAACCATTTTCAAAAAGGTTCTATACAGAATCATATACAGCACATTCTACATCATTCTGAAAAATTCATTAAAATTAATTTCACCATGCAGAGGACTATTTAAATATGCAAACGGCTCTTTGAGTGTTCATGGTTCTATATAGAACCACAGTCTTCACTGCAAAAAATGAGGTGAAAAAATCTTAAATCTAGCCAATATGTCTAATAATTCTTATTATGAGATTGTTGTAAGAATATAATAAGACTAACTTATTTCTAGTCATTTTTTTACCTGTTTTTAGGGATTTTATCTTTTGAAAGTGTCTTATTCCATGGGCAGATCATTTTACCTGTTTCAAGCATGATTTCTTTAAATAAGCAAAATGATCCGCATTATTTCCCTAACAAAATAAAATGATCTGCCAATGGAATACAACACTTTTACTAGATAAAATTACTTAAAACAAGTAGAAAAAGTGTCTAGAAATAGCTTAAATAATCTTATAATATGCCTAAAACAATCTCATAATGAGAAATATCAGATATACTGACCACATTTAAGACGTTTTCACTTCCTAAGATGTGCCGAGTTTACTAAAGCACCACATGGAGAACCACCTGTTTTCAGAGCGTGCTTGCACTAACTACAGCTTCGCTCTGTGTACCACAATCACCACAATAATCGACAAGAACAGACTCTTTTTAATGTGCTGTGCCATTAAATCTGCATGTTCTTGTATGTGGATAAAAAGAATGATCGTCAAACATACATCAAAACCGAAATAACAAACGTGAAATTAAAAGAAATCACAAATGGGGAATAGACAGCAAAATAAGGGTCTAGGTTTGCTTATCAAAGATCAACAGAAAATACTCGTTTGGTGACGTGGACACATCAGTCATACCCCGCACACCCTCTTACCTTGTTTCCCTCAAACGGCTCTTCCTTCAGCAGTAAGTGAAAATAGACATGGATACAAGTGAGTACCTGCACATCACGGCGCGAATGTATGTGCGGCCTCTGCCGCGTTCTCTGCTAACACAACACCTGCACACTGTGTATAGTGTATCCACACGGTCCCAGTGACTTGTTTTAACAGCGCAGTGATAATTTGCGCTCAGGAGTGGATAATTGGCTGGGTTTTTGCAGCCAATTATCCACCGATGCAGCATTTTCAATCAGCTCTGAAAATGATTAACGTCGGCCTCGTCTTCTAACTCTCATTTTATTTTATTGTATATTATTTTATTTCATTTATTTATTATTTTATATGCCATCGTACATCACAGAAACGCTCAGTGTAAATAATGCAGTCTATCAGACTCGTTCCAGTGATTGGACCCTTCAGGTGCCGAGAGCTTTTACAGAGCTGGGAAAATCTGCTTTTAGCTACAGCACCAGTGGCTGGAATTCAATAGAGGGAACTCTAAAACTTGGCTCTCTGGTGTCACATGAACCAGCTCCAATCAGCCTGACACTGCTTTATTTGATTTCGCTTAATTTTTAATATGACTTTTGGTATTTTTTAGCTGTGTCTTTTGTCTGTTGTTTTTAATTTTTACTTTTACTTTTATACTTTTATCTCTTTACTTCTTATCATTTTTTTATTTCTTTTATTAGTATTCTTTTTATTTCTTTTATTATTGTCAATTTATTGTTTTACCTCTATTTATTTATTATTTTTATGTTTAATTTATTTCATTTATGTTTTTATTTATTTTATCCTTATCTGCTCTGTTGCTTGATAAGTTGTTATTGTAATGTTAATCGTTTACTGATTTAACAGTTTATTGGTAGCTTCTTATTATTAAATTTTACTTTTATGATTTTTATTATTTAATTATAGCATTTATTTTTTTACTGTACAACTTCTCAATCCCTGATTCCTGTATTACTCAGCTGCATTGTAAAGGAGGGTCTCCCTCAATGTATTCTGAGTTTAAATAAAGGTTGATTGATTGATTTTATTTACTACATGTACATGTTTGTCTGATTCTGTGCAAAACCAAATTCCTTGTATGTGTAAGCAAACCTGGCCAATAAAGCTTCTGATTCTGATTCATTCAGCTTCCATCCACATCATACAGAGGCTGAAATAAGCCGAAGCCGATCCAGCTAGCTGGGTTTTGCCCCGTGAGGTTGTCTGTTCACGGGACTAATTGAAGCTTTCTCCTTGCTTGTAATCAAAAGTAACACCCACAGGTATACACGGGCGTCAGACCAGTAATTAGCCTGGTCCCTGCAGTCGGCCCGCGACTGCGGTTGCATGCAAACATGCAATTGTCTCATTGACTAATTACGCTGCCTAGGAGATCCGTCCAGTTACAGCTCAGTGCTGACATTGTCTAGCACGGTTTACAGCCCCGAGTCTTCCGTCAGACTCATTTTGTACTAACAACGTTATTGATCGCTTTACACAGAGCTGAGACAGCTGTGAGAGCGCTGGACGAGGGCCAGAGATTGAAAGACAAATATTACACAAAACGCCTCACAGCCTAGTAAATCTTAAGCTTACACTACAGCAGTGGTTCCCAAACTGTGGTACAGGTACCCTCAGGGGTACAGCGAACGATATTGGGGGGGACGTCAAAAGAATCCAACATAAATCTTCATTTAATTTCTTTAAATCAGCTGATCGCACAATTACATGCTGCTCTGATACAAGCAACAAAGTCTCCAGCACAGGGCAGCTTTAGCAGTTCTGTGTTTTATTCTTTAATCGTAAAAGGTTGCATTAGAGAAGAGTTTCATTCTGGCGTCTTCGGTGTAATATATATACATACACACCGATCAGGCATAACATTATGACCACCTCATTGTTTCTATGCTCATTGTCCATTTTATCAGCTCCACTTACTATATAGGTGCACTTTGTAGTTCTACAGTTACAGACTGTAGTCCATCTGTTTCTCTGATACTTTGTTAGCCCCCTTTTACCCTGTTCTTCAGTGGTCAGGACCCCCATGGACCCTCACAGAGTAGGTACTATTTGTGTGGTGGATCATTCTCAGCACTGCAGTAACACTGACGTGGTGGTGGTGTGTTAGTGTGTGTTGTGCTGGTCTGAGTGGATCAGACACAGCAGTGCTGCTGGAGTTTTTAAACACCTCAGTGTCACTGCTGGACTGAGAACCAAAAACATCCAGCCAACAGCGTCCTGTGGGCAGCGTCCTGTGACCACTGATGAAGGACTAGAGGATGACCAACACAAACTGTGCAGCAGCAGATGAGCTATCGTCTCTGACTTTACATCTACAAGGTGGACTGACCAGGCAGCAACACTCCTGTGTCTGATCCACTCGCACCAGCACAACACACACTAACACACCACCACCACGTCAGTGTTACTGCAGTGCTGAGAATGATCCACCACCCAAATAGTACCTGCTCTGCGAGGGTCCATGGGGGTCCTGACCACTGAAGAACAGGGTAAAAGGGGGCTAACAAAGTATGCAGAGAAACAGATGGACTACAGTCTGCAACTGTAGAACTACTCTCTAACCACAACTCAAAAATCATGTTTTACTAAATTTGTAAAAGGGCTACTAAACTTGGCATTGCACCACAAAAGTCACATGGACTCTTCATTACGATGCAATACGCTGGCCCCTCTTTTGTAAAAGCATGTCAAAATAAAAGTCCTTTGTTTTTGCTTGTGCTGCCTGACATTTGAGGAAGTAAGAACTTGCAGACAAATGTTTTTCAGTGAGTTGATCACTTTTAAAGTTGCTTTTTTGCAACATGGTTTTATTTTGAACTTTTTAAGCATAAAATCATGCCAAACTATTTTATTCAGAATTTTATAACTAAATTACCTTTTTGGATAGTTTACTTAATCAGCATATGGCTGGACAGTTGTGCTACCTGACATTTTTAGACTTTTGGAAGCAAAAAAGAAATAAAAATGAATTTTATATGGATGCACTAAAAACTGTTTTACATAAAAGAGGTATTGTTGAATAATAATATGTCATGTATATAGTAAAGTATTTTTTCCATATATATTATTTGTGTGTATGTGTGACAGAGAGGGGTGTACACACAAGGACGTTTAATGTCTGAGGGGGTACAGGGCTGTACAAAGTTGGGGAACCACTGCGCTACTGTATGCTTTTCCACAATATGTGGTATCAGTGGATTCAGAGGAGGCCTGAGAGAGTCCTGTAAGAATGAAGGTCCTGGTAATATATTGTTTGGCTAACAATACTGACCAATATTGAGGTTCTGCAACTATCGCTATCAGTAAAAATCATGTCAACATTTAGTGTCTTGTTTTCTATTGTAATAAACAAACGCCTGTCATGTCAGATAAAACCTTTTCAGAGAATTCAATGGTTTCATGCTGGAATGTCAGTCATTATTACTCTGTTCAATCCTTTGTTTGAGGGTCACCCTCAGAGTACTCTGAGTTATAGAAAAGGTTAATTGATTGATTGATTAACTTATCGATTGACTGATCGATTATAAAGGCTGTTAAGTCAGCACTTCAAAAACTACCTTGATTAAAAATAAGAAAAATAAGAGCTAATTAACACAAAACGCAAAGAACTCTGAGAAGCTTCAGGCTATAATAATTATACTATTTATGGCTTTGTGAGTCTGAGACTATATAAAAGATATATTATCCAATATCCAATAGTCAATATTATCAGTTACTAAAACTGTTAAAATCAATATTGATCACAATTTGTCATATCGGTCAAGCCCTCCTACACATGAGCTCTCTAGTGCTCCACAGCCTGTTCCAACCAGCAGGCTCTATAAACCAGTCTGAACAGGCTGTAATTTGAGGCAACTGGGATTTGATGTGATAAATATAGTCAAGACCACAAAGACTGAAGCACACAATGCCAGAACCTCAAACGGAGCAACGCTGCAAAATTGGTGCTGGAGAAAAATGTATGATGTTGTAAGGCAGATATTAAATTAATATGAAAGCGTCTCTCACCATGTAGATTCCTCCAAACAGGGCCATGAATTTACTCAGCAGAGCAGCACACAGACTGGCAACATGGACGAACGGCCCCTGAGTAGAGAGACAGTGTGGAAAGAGTTAGAGGTGACCACACTGAGGATCTAATGTCTAGACATTAATTCACCTTGACTCACTAATCTTGGGTTTCTTTTCAAATTCACTTAAAAAAACACTAATGTGGCCAATAACGACTGGAAGCTGGGAGCTCTGATGTGAAATAACCCTTAAATTCTGTATCAAGTACAGTGAGATACATACTCATTCTGCCGACTCAGTCGGGCCCCAGCAGGTCACATCCTGGACTTCAAGGAAAATCGTATATTTTTAAAACTGTGCTCTAAACAGTTTCGTTTGAACAGTTTCTTGTTTTTAAAGTTTGCCCATAAAGGTTCTACGTTGCCTGTAAAATGTTGAGTTTAGATGATTACTGAATGCTAATACCTGACTGGACTGAGCTGAAATGTTATTTGAGTATAAATGCATTACAAAGAATAATATTTCAGTTCAAATCATCTGGTTTCATCATATTAAAATTCACACAGCCAGTTTATTCACTGGAGAGTGTCTTTCATATGCCATCATGAAATCTTTTGTCTTTAAATCTCATATTTGAGTCACTTTTTTTGAAAAAATTGGTTTTATGTAGCATTCCCACATTTCTACAACAAAGTTGAGTCTGAAATCTTACCATATACCCTGTTACCATGACAACCCCACTTACAAGCTTAAGAAATATGGTTCTTCGAGGGTTCATTAGTAAAGAAAATGGTTATATACAGAACCATGAACACTTAAAGAACCATTTGCATTATTAAAGGGTTCTTTGCATGGTGAAATTGTTTTTCAGATTGATGGAGAATGTGCTGTAGATGGCTTTATATAGAACCTAGAAAGCACCAAGCTTGTATTGTAACAATAGCAGAACCCTTTTTGGTGCTATATAGAACCATCTACAGCACATTCTTCATATACCTGAAGAACCATTTCACCATGCAAAGAACTCTTTATTTGTGCAAAGGTTTCTTTGAGTGTTCATAGTTCTATATAGAGCCATTTTCTTTACTAAAGAACCCCTCAAGAACCATTTTTTAAGAGTGTAGGACTAAATTGAGGACAGTATCTACTACAGAATAACAGTTCCCAACTTCATAATCTCATCATGAACTCCAGATAAGAAAACAGTATCACACAAACATCCTAACTAGACTAAACCTCCTAAATCCTGTCCTAACTTTAGGATGAACCCCAACAGGGTCCTCACTTCTGTTTAAGGTCCGTTTCTATGGTTTTTAGGCAGCTGTGTCAGCAGCATAGTTCACTACCAGCATAATGAGCTCCATTTATTTCTACTGTAAAACGCTGCTTTCACTGTGAGATGATTTTCGTTTCTAACTCTGCATTTTAAAGATCTCAGACGCTGCAGACTCGATCTCCACCGCCCCTTTGATCACCTTCGTGTGTTAATGTTGATGATGAAATATTACAGTGATGGTGGTGAATAATGAGGAGACGGAGCTGAACGTGTGTCTGTTTATTAGGAGGAGTAATGTCAGCTAAAGAGTTTGGGAAATGGAGACTGAAACTGGGGAGCGACCACGCTCTGACAAACAGCAGGGGGCGCTCTCACAATGTTCTTAACTTCAAGTTTATCATGCTTTAGTTTTGTGTGACCTTTTTTCCCTCAGTTACGGCAGCTGTCTCACTAACTAACTCGCTTATTTTAATTACGAGTTCATGTTTCAGCTGTGTGTGTATGGCCGGTTGCTAGTTAACGGACCTTGCAGTTGATTGTCGACTTCAGTTGAGTAAGTTAAGATTTCCTAATTTGAGATAAGATGCTGTATTATCAGATTCCTTAATTAAGATACAATTTGCTTCTATAATACAAATTTGTGAATGATCTTATCCTGACCTCTCAGATCTTAAAACAAAAAGATAGGAAGTTTCTGTAATACGGCTCCTGCCTTAACTTACTCACTCATGTTTAGAAGGCTGAAGGTTCTCCACAAGGGGGTGCCATTGGCGCTGTTCCTCAGTGATACAGTGTCTTTGTTAAAGCTCTGTTTTGGAGGCCTTTTTCAAAAGGGATCGATCCAATTCATTCACACATTTTTCCAAATGAAGTAAATTATTATTCATTAACATATGCAAATTAATATGTGCTATGACTATGGTTCAACATTGCCTTAACATAAGCAGGCACAATATAAATAGACAGAAAAAGTTGAAATAGAAAAGCACTGGATTTACAAATCTACCTTTATAATGCTCCAAATAGTCGGTGTCATTTTTGCAGGGTAATATATTCTTTTATGCGAAGAATCTCTTGCAGAGGCACCAAAAATGACCCAGCATGGCCGTGACGTCGCACATAACATACACAAACATCACCATCGGCACCATTTCTCGTCACTCTAACAGTCAGTGTGCTTCTCCTCTGCCTCAAGCTGATTTCAAACAGAGCCGAGAGTTTTACCTTCAAAGCTCTGAGAACATCAGGAGGGAACACTGATCATATCACACAGGTTTGGAAGCCATCAGTGACACCATGAAATCAGTTTGAGGCACAAGCAAGCCAGGATACTTGCTCGCTGACTCTGCAAGATTCTGTGCATAAAAGTGCCCCCCCCCAACATTCATAAGAAACTGAACACCACAAACATCCATTGTTCTTTGAGAATATTAAAAACTAATTTGGAAATCCAGTGTTTTTAATTGACTGATTTACTCTTTATGTTGAAACATGATTAAACAATGAAAGAATCACAGCTGTAATTGTTTTAATTGTTTTATATGTTAATGAGCTGTGGAGTGGGTTTACGTGTGGTTGAGTGCTCGGTGCAGGAACCTGGGTTCCCAACATAAGGACTGCTCAATACTTCGAGGTAAGTTCCAACAAAACATCCATATTTTAGTGTTCACGTAATAAAAGACTAATTAAACTAATTAAATTAAACTCATTAAATTAAATGAAAGCAGTTTCTGGACATACTGACTCTAGTTGACTTGTTCAGTCCAATACAAGTTTTCCTGACTCAACTTCAGTACAGGATGAGGCCACAGGGTCGATTAGACCTTTAACTCCACAAACAGGCCTCATACCCACCATTTTTGCTCCCGTTCCAAAGCCTAGACTGCAGCTGAGGTAGGTTGCATTTCTCGGCCGCTACATCACCAATCCAGAGTGAAGCGCCCTTCATATGCAGCCTGGAAATGCAGCCTACATTCTGACTTAGTGATTTCAGGGACACAACTGATCCTTCCAGGCCTTCGGTTACCCACAGTTCTCTGCACACGAACGATGCAAAGGAAAAAAAAACAGCACCACCAACAGCAAATGATGGAAAATGAAGCTGTTGTAGCAGAGCTGGTTTAAAATGTAAGTTCTTCATGTCCTTCAATTCGTCTTTGTTACCTTATAAAGTGTAAAATGATTAATTAACGCTTTCATCTAAATATCGTATATCGTCCATACATCGTATTTTATTTATAAGTATTTGTATATATGTGTAGTTTATCGTACTACATAAGATCATCTCCTCCATTTCTGTGCCGAAATAAAAAAGCAACAAACTCAAGGCAGCGGCTCCGTTTTCTCACCGGTTCCCTCACGAGTTTGGCGCCGCTCTGGTGGCGTCACCACGCAGCCTCGTTAGGACCGATCCATTTGTCTGACCAATAGGCTACTAAGGAGGAGTCTTCATAGGACAGACCCGCCCTACCTCAGCTACAGCCTAGGCTTTGGAACACAGCTAATATCTCTCCCTCTGTTTAAACTCATAGCCCCACCCATAATCAGACTGCGCCAAACCACTGCTACGAGCAAGAGGGTCAACAGAGGATTGTACAATATTAAAATGCAGACATCGTTGTCAACAAAATAATGCTGATGTCATTCGTCCATTCTTTCTTTTATATTACCCATAGGGATGTTCTCAGTTGCTTATATTTAACGTTCTTTCTCTCTCACAGGTATCTCAATCTCAGGCCCCCCTCAAGTTAACTGAGGGCCCTTCAGGACCAGACAGACACTAGCTGCATTCCAAAGCCTGGGCTGCAGCCGAGGTAGTGCGGGTCCTCGGTAGGACTGTCCTATGAAGACTCGCCCTTAGTAGCCTATTGGTCACACAAATGGAGCAGCCCTAACAAGGCTGCGTGGTGACGTTGTCAGAGCGGCACCAAACTTATGAGGGAATTGGTGAGAAAACGGAGCCGCTGCATTGAGTTTGTTGCTTTTTCGTTTCTTCACGGAAATGGAGGAGATCTTATGCAGTACGATAAACGACTTGTACACAAATAATTCTAAATACAATACAATATATGGACGATATATATAATCACTCTGAATGTAGGCTGCCTTTCTAGGCTGTGTACGAAGCGTCCTTCACTTTGGAACGGCCTTCTATGACGTAGCGGCCGAGAAATGCAGCCTGGAGTTTGGAACGCAGCTGATGTCAACAGGTAAGTAAATATAAGTGCACATTTTTACACTGACCTGTACACCTGCTTTTGTTTTAAAATCCCCAAAGTCTGCACTAAGTGTCCCAAAATAGTCTTGCTGATGGGGCAGACCTACTGACTTCATCACAGACCTCACTAACCTTAATCATGAGAAAAGTGAAAGGAGGATTAATCCGTTTCGATAAAATATAGGATCCAACATGGATTTTAGTTCTGAAGCTGTTTGAATTCATGTTGTATCTTTGAAAAGCCGCTGGCAGAAATGAATCATTTACAGATGGGATATAAAACTACATTTTTCCAAAATAAAAAGAATGAATACAGACAAGAAAAGCAAATCCTCCAATAAATCAAACCTGGTGGGGGAATTTATCATCATGAAATTGGATTGAGATTATGCTTAGCACTGTATTCATAACCAGTTTGCCAATATGGGCAAATATATGTTTAAAAACATAACTAAAACTATTTGGAGCGCAGTTTTGGAATTTTCATTAACACAAGTGAATATTTTTAGGAAAATTTATTACCTGACCTGCCAGGTCCTAAACGAGTCGGTGTGGAATAATCCATATTAGAGCTGGCCGATATCATGATATTCATCGTTATCGTGATAAACTACATCACAGTATGTCACCATCTGGGCACATGGTAGACATCATTAGTACTCAATCATTGTATTCATTGGTTTTATAGTACTTTTTTTAATATGACACTACTTTGCCTGTTCTAACTCATCACATGTCAGAAAAAAACGTTGTGTCCCACTATTGGCTGCACACGGCCGTGAGAAGCTCAGGAGGCGTGGCCATGCAAAGGGGCTTATGGGAGGTGTGCACCCTCTGAAAAAAGGGACCTAAAGTTGTCACTGTTGTTGTTCTTTAGTTTAAAATGTGTTTGTGTTGTTTGGGTTATTTTGACTACATTCACATTATAAACCTCTTTGCTCAAATCCAGTTTTTTGCTCAGATCTGATTTCTCTACCATCATGATTCACATTTGTTTAGGTAAGTGACTCAAATCGGTCATTAAGGTGAACGAACCAGCGTCCTGAAACAACCTGCATGCGCACATCCTACTCAGTAATGTCACATGAACAACAGATAAATTATCAGCAGAGCAGACTGCGCTGTGATCATAAGTAGCTCTGATCAGCTCTCAGCTTCATTATTAGAGCGAGACGAAAAAGTTGTGAGATGAGCTGCTTTTCCACTGTTTACTAGTTTTAACTTCAGGTTTGGCGCTGCTGCCATGGTAACGCTGAATTATGACGCATGTGCAATAAAGAAAAGCACATCGATTCAGATCTGAGCATCATATTAAGGTTGCATGGCCACAAATTGGACACATATCCAATTTCGGACCACATATGAAAGACTATGTTCACATTACCAGGCTGAAGTGGCACAAATCTGATTTTTTTGCCCTAATGTGACTCAGATCTGATGTTTTCAGAGCTGTGTGGAGACGCAAATCAGATCTTTTCAAATCCAACCTGACCAATATTTATATGTGGTCCTAGATCAGATACCTATCTGATTTGTGGCCGTGCGACCTTAATGTGACGCTCAGATCGGAATTCATGTGCTTTTTTTCCACTGCGCGTGACCATCATTCAGCGTTACCATGGCAACAGCGCCGAACAGAAGTTAAAGCCTGTAAATGGTGGAAAAGCAGCTCATCTCACCTTTTTCTCCTTCGTCTCGCTCTAATAACGAAGCTGAGAGCTGATCAGAGTTAATTATCTTCTCAGCGAAGCTCATTCTGCTCGTTAGTTTGTGCTGATGATGCACGTGATTCATTCACGTGACGTTACTGAGTAGGATGACCGCATGCAGGTCATTTCAGGACGCCAATTCGTTCACATTAGTGACACATTTGAGTCACTTAAACAAGTGCGAACCATCATGTTAGATAGATCAGATCTGAGCAAAGAATCGGATTTGAGCAATGAGGCTTATAATGTGAACGTAGCCAAAGTGGCTCAGGTCAGATTTGAAAAGACCAGATTTGTGTGTCCACACAGCTCTGAAAACATCAGATCTGAGTCACATTAGGGAAACCATATTTGTGCCAATTAAGGCTGATAATGTTAATGTAGCCTTTGGTGTTTTGGCACAAAGCAGGTAAAAGTGGCCCAAATCTAATTTTCTCCACAAATCTGATTGTTTTATCAGGCTGTTCACATTATTATTTAAATGTGATCTGTATGCGACATCAGTCTGAACAGATCAGCTCCTAAACTGACCCGCATGTGTAAAAGAACAGAGCATCACAGCTCATCCAGAGGTAAACAATCACGACCGCCAACGAACGCCAGTCGATCAGCTTCATCTTCACCAGCATCACAGGAGCCATCATGAAGCTTCACTGACTGACAGCTGGGCTCATCACCCAGAATGTGTTGGAGCCGTAAAAAGGGCGCGGTCACTTCTTTGGTTTGTGTCCTCGGAGTCTTTAAACTTTGCTTTCAGACTTTTAACTGTTCTTTGACGCTGCAGCCTCGTTCTCCTGCGGCCGCGATCGGACAGTTCTTTAGGAATCTCTTATGTGCCTTTCTGCTTGGTGTCAATAAAAGAGTCATGGCCTCCTTATGTCTTACTCTGTGCTGACGCCACAGTATACTATGACATATCGTGTATCCTGAAACATTCTTGATGTACTGTGATACATGTTTTCCACCTCTGCCCCATTTGCTTTTATAGGAATTTGGCCAGGACGCTCGGCTCACTCACCTCTTTGCCCAGAGGCATGCCGCTGCCCAGAGCGCACGTCAGGCCAATGACTTTGGCCACAAATGTCTTGAAGGTCAGGTACTCTTTCAGCACCACTCCTCGCAGGATGGTCTTCATTTCTGGAATCCCAGAACCTGGAGGAGGAAAACAACAGATGAACAAAGACAGGAAAACAAGACAAAGAGAAGGAAAAGTGAATATTATTCCATTTCTACACTATTTCATGTCCACGCTGTTGTTAAAAGGTCTGTAATCCCTTTTCGTTTAATATTTAGATGTTTTACTCAATATTTCACATTTTGAGGACAACAAGAAGTTATTAAATTATACTGTAATGATCCATTTATACCACTTTCTTGTCAAGCTGTCTATATTGATTACTACTTTAGAAATGCAAGGCATTTTCAATACTCATTTTATTCTGGACACTCTACAGCTCTGGTCATTATTTTGGACACGTTCTTAATTTTTTTACAGCCTGTAATGAATTAAAGAATTATTGAAACCTGTAGATTTCCAGCTTCATATTAGAATCATGTTATACATTTATCTTTAACAAAACTGCTTTTCCACTATTGAAAACGGAGATTTCAAACAGTAGAGTGTATGTAGAAGTGTGTATGTATATCTCACCCACAGCCTGCGGTGCGAGTATCTGTGTGAACCCTGCGGAGAAGGTGATGAGGACCACAGGGTAAGTGACCCAGGCCAGATACTGCAGCAGCATGTTACTGTCCAGGCCTCCATACATCCACTTCTGTGCTACAGACACAACCACACATGCAGCACCTCATTATACTTCCATATAAGCAAAAATATTACATCACGAAAGGGTCGGTGATGCACATTTTTGTATCCAAGGCCCAATCCCGTTTCTGAATTTTACCCCTACCCCTTATTCTCGAGTGTCTTCTTGCCCCTTGGAACCGAGTTATAAGGGGTAGTGGTTGAAATCTTCCCTCTGAAATGGGACCCTCAAATAAAAAGAGCATCACTTCATTAACAGCTACCAGCGCTGCTCTGTAGGCGACCCTGCCCGTCTGCAGTGACAGCAGAGGAGGGTAAAGTTCAGCTCCTCACTGCTGGACTTTAGTTACATTTAGGGCATCATATGCCTTCAAAGAGGGGGGCAATTATTTATTATCACCCACCCCTAATTCTTCAGTGATATGAAGCTGAAGTCAGATATTCTCCAGCTTCTTATTCGAATTTTCCTGTTCCACCTTAAATGGAGCAGCAGTTACATTCTGACACCTCAGGCATTTAAGGTGGAATGGGAAATTTAGCTAGCTAACTAAAGACATCAGCACTACTAGCAATTTTATGCTTGCTATGAAGAAAAGGACCAAAATACACTGAAACGACATTAAACTTAATAATAATACAGTGGTTACTGTAATTTTTAACAGAGAAAATTCTCACATATCTCATTCTCTCATATCACTCTGTTTGGAGTCTCTGAAAAACCTCCGTTTGGAGGGCCATGTAGCCCCAACACTCCACCCTACCCCTCTATCTCAACATGAATCGGGACACCCTACCCCTAGACATGAATGCGCAAAACAGAGGGCTAAGTGGCAGAGGTGCGGGGTGAAATGGGAAAATGGGATCGGGCTCAAGTTCATTATTTTCTTATTAACCTCTTAAAATCTCAGGCTTATTACATACTAAGGCTTATTACTGAGCAACTACAGGGACTTCAATGCAAACTGGTTGAGCTGTTCTTAGATTATAGAAGTGTGTTATAAAACTTTGGGCCCGTTGGCAGCTCTGGTCATGTAAGGGGTTAACCTGTTAACTGTCACCCCATTTTTGCCTGAAACTGCACACCCAAAGTAAAGGGGGCGCTGTTCCCACATACTTTGGGCTACAGTCATGATCTTGGTCTCATTCGAAAGGAAACACTCGGGTTTTTTAGAATGACTGTCTGAATTAGTGACTCAGAGTAACAGAGTCGAGAATGGAGGAGTTTATTTCCTCCTGACTCATAGATCTCTAAACTGATCTCTGACTCTTGCTGTGTTATCAGACCTCATGTTGTGGATTATGGTGTCTCTGTGGAGGCAGAGAGGCTTTGAGGGTGAGGACACACAGATCTGCCAGCATTTGCTCATTCGGTGCTGATGTTGGACATGAGACGATCATAACTGCTTTGAATAACAGATCATAAAATGGTTTGTGGGAATCGAATCCTGAGATTTCCAGATTTTTAACTGTACACCGATCAGGCATAACATTATGACCATTATGTCCTTGTTTCTACGCTCATCGTCCATTTTATCAGCTCCACTTACTGTATAGGTGCACTTTGTAGTTCTACAGTTACAGACTGTAGTCCATCTGTTTCTCTGCATACTTTGTTAGCCCACTTTTACCCTGTTCTTCAGTGGTCAGGACCCCCATGGACCCTCACAGAGCAGGTACTGTTTGGGTGATGGATCATTCTCAGCACTGCAGTAACACTGATGTGGTGGTGGTGTGTTAGTGTGTGTTGTGCTGGTCTGAGTGGATCAGACACAGCCGTGCTGCTAGAGTTTTAAACACTGTGTCCACTCACTGTCCACTCTATAAGACACTCCTACCTGGTCAGTCCACCTTGTAGATGTAAAGTCAGAGACGATAGCTCATCTGCTGCTGCACGGTTTGTGTTGGTCATCCTCTAGTCCTTCATCAGTGGTCACAGGACGCTGCCCACAGGACGCTGTTGGCTGGGTATTTTTGGTTGGTGGACTATTCTCAGTCCAGCAGTGACACTGAGGTGTTTAAAAACTCCAGCAGCACTGCTGTGTCTGATCCACTCAGACCAGCGCAACACACACCAACACACCACCACCGCGTCAGTGTTACTGCAGTGCTGAGAATGATCCACCACCCAAATAGTACCTGCTCTGTGAGGGTCCATGGGGGTCCTGACCACTGAAGAACAGGGTAAAAGGGGGCTAACAAAGTATGCAGAGAAACAGATGGACTACAGTCTGTAACTGTAGAACTACAAAAATGATGTATAAAAAAAGGAAGTGAACGCTTTGATGGAAGTGTGCCAGTACTTTCACACTTTTAGAAAAGTTGGTTCTTCAAGGGTTCTTTAGTAAAGACAGTGGTCCTGTATAGAACCATGAACACTCAAAGAACCCTTTGCATGCTTGATGGAGAATGTGTTGTATATGGTTCTATAGAGAACCTTTTTGAAAGGGTTCTACATAGTACCAAAAGGGTTCTGCTATTGATGTCAAGCTACTTACAACAGAAGAACCCTTTTTGGTGATATATAGAACCATATACAACATGTTCTCCATCAATCTGAAGAACCATTTTACCATGCAAAGAACCATTTAAGCATGTAAAGGGTTCTTTGTGTGTTTATGATTCTATATAGAACCATCTGCATGCTTACATGGTTCTTTGCAAGGTGAAAGCGTTCTTTAGATTGATGGAGAACATGTTGTATTTGGTTCTATATATATCACCAAAAGGGGTTCTTCTCTTGTTACAAGCTTGACATCAATAGCAGAACCCTTTTGGTACTATGTAGAACCCTTTTCAAAAAGCTTCTATACTGAACCATCTACAGCACATTCTCCATCAATCTGAAGAACCGTTTCACACTCAAAGAACCCTTTGCATGCTTAAATGGTTCTCTGCATGGTGAAATGGTTCTTCAGATTGATGGAGAATATATCACCAAAAGGGGTTCTTCTATTGTTACAAGCTTGACATCAATAGCAGAACCCTTTTCAAAGAGGTTCTCTATATAACCACATAAATGGTTCTTTGCATGGTAGAATGGTTCTTCAGAGTGATGGAAAACGTGTTGTATATGGTTTTATACAGCACCAGAAAGGGTTCTGCTATTGGTGTCAGGCGTGTAACAATGGAAGAACCCTTTTTGGTGATATATAGAACCATATACAACCCGTTCTCCATCACTCTGAAGAACCATTTTACCATGCAAAGAACCATTTAAGCATGCAAAGTGCGTGTTCGTGATTCTATATAGAACCACCTGCATGCTTACATGGTTCTATTGTTACAAGCTTGACATCAGCAGCAGAAACCTTTTGGTACTATGTAGAACCCTTTTCAAAGACATTCTCTATATAACCATACATAACACATTCTCCATCAATCTGAAGAACTATTTTAACATGCAAAGGACAATTTAAGCATGCAGCTGGTTTTTTGAGTGTTCATGGTTCTGTATAGAACCACTGTCTATACTAAAGTTCTCAAAGTGTACAGTGATCTAGGAAAGGTGAAGTAATATAACAAATCACACTATTTTACAATACACATGTGATTCTCACACTGCTGTGCATCACACTCTCTCTCAGAGAACCAAACCAACCAGAACCAGAGTGTGATACTCTCTCTCAGAGAACCAAATAGCCGTCTGTTTTAACTAATAGCATCAAATAATAGGTTAATTGCTGGTTAACGGTTACTCAGTTAATCATTTACACCCCTAATACTGAGGTATGTTGTGATATTACAGTCCAACATCACAAAATAGTGCAATATAATGTCACACCTATAATATATCATGCAGTGCTGGTCACTGGATCTAAAAACCAGTATCTAAAGACACACAGCATGAGTGCAGATGACTGGAGAAACCTAATCTGGCTATTAAAATTCACCCCCTGTAATGTGAGGAAGCTTTAAAGCAGATATGATCATGCCCATTACTTCCACCGTCCACTGCTCTCCCTCACCTTGCTGGCAGAAGGCGATGGTGTAGTCCATGACCCAGCTGACCAGAGCCATGACGAGCCCCAGGAGGATGAGGAAGATCCAGTCTTCACCAACCCGGGAAATCAAGAATCTCTGACAGCGAGACGTACACACTGCGGGAAACACACAGGGGTCAGAGGTCACCTCACTACACTTATGTTGAAATGTATGGGGGAAAAAAAATGTTATATTTAAATAAAATACTAATTTTACGTACTAATATACTAATACTAACTCAACCTCGTCCTAGATTGTACTAAATCATACCCTAAACTTACTACAGTCCTAACCTTGACTTCAACTGATTAGCTAACCCTAACCCTAAACCTTTCCACCAAAACATAAACCAAACCTAACCCAAGCCTAATCCTAACTTCACCCTAAAACCTAAACCTAATCCTAACCTCACTCTAAAACCTAAACCTAATCCTAACCTAAGACTAATCCTAACTTCACCCCAAAACCTAAACCTAATTCTAAACCTAATCCCAGCCTAAACCCAATCCTAACTTCACGCAAAAACCTAAACCTAATTCTAAACCTAATCTTAACCTAAACCTAATCCTAAACCTAATTTTAATCTCAATCCCAACATAAACCTAATAATAACTTCACTCTAAACCTAATCCTAACCTAAACCTAATCCTAACTTCACTCTAAAACCTAAACCGAATTCTAAACATAATCCTTACTTCACTCTAAAACCTAAACCTAATTTTAATCTGAATCCTAAACTAAACCTAATCCTAACTTCTCTAAATCCTAAACCTAATTTTGATCTCAATCCCAACCTAAACCTAATCCTAACACTCTAAAACTTAAACCTAATTCTAAACTTAACCTAAATCGAACATTAATCCTAACTTCACCCTAAAAGCTAAACCTAATTTTAAACCGAATCCTAAACTACACCTAACCCTAACTTCACCCTAAAACCCAAACCTAAACCTAACTCTAAACTTAACCTAAACCTAACCTTATTCCTGACTTCACCCTAAAACCTAAACCTAATTTTAAACCGAATCCTAAACTAAACCTAACGTCACCCTAAAACCTAAACCTAATTCTAAGTTTAACCTAAACCTAACCTTAATCCTAACTTCACCCTAAAACCTAAACCTAATTCTAACCCTAAATCTAGCATTGTTGATAATCAACTGACAATTAACAATTAAACATTGACAATTAAAGCATCTGTGGATGATCTATAGGAGACCCTAAAGTAAAGTGTGGCCAATATTTGTCATATTTTTGAAAAGGTAATTAAATAAAACAAACATTTTGTGTCCTTTGACTTACATTTTTCAACTTATCTGCCTTGAGATCCCCACTTTTGAAACATGAGGAATTCGGAATATTAAGTGTATCATGACATCATTCTCGATGTTAAACAGCTTTACTGTAATGGTGGAGGCGAGGAGGCGGGATGCTTTTATTCAAATTAGAGTTAACTGAGTCCAGAAACTGAGAAGCAGAAGTTTGAAAAACAGACCATGTCCAAAAACAAACCCAAACTACAAGATGAAAGAAAACAAGTTAAAGGGCAACATCCACAGGGCAACATCCACAGGGCAACACCCACAGGGCAACACCCACAGGGCAACATCCACAGGGCAAGAGAGAGACTGAACAAACACAGGGGTATAAATACACAGAGGGGAAATGAGAAACACCTGGGACTAATGAGGGGCGGAGCACAGGCAGGTGGAGCAGATAACAAGGGGGCAGGACCAGGGAGGAGACACAGAACCACAAAAGCACATGGCACAAGAAAACAAAGGCTAATGGCTCCCATAGAGGGGAAGAAACAGACACACTCAGAGGGACAAAGGGGGAATCCGTGACACTTACAGTCATTTTGGGTTCAACAATCTACATCTACAGTTTTCCTCTTTACAATGTAAATGTAAATGTAAATGTCCTCTGTTTTTTTTTTACATAAAGTATTTGGAACCTGTAAACTTGCACAAATCTTTTACATTTATCTGCAATCGAAACTGACCATCTATGATTCCAAACTTTTGAATGTTCACTCCAAACGTCTGACCGGTAGACTGTCTGGCACATAATTCTGTTTTCAATCAAGCCAGAGGACAGAGAGAGCGCGAGGGAAAAGTCAATACTCCGACGGTGCGGCCTAGTTAAGAACAGCACAGAGCGAAGCAATTATCAGCAGCCAGCAGTGAGCAGACACACCGCGAGCAACGAGACCCACAATCGGCCGTCCAGAGCGGCTCTCGCTCAGAGGAGTGGGAAACGACAGATTCAGAGGAGGACAGAACTACAGACACAGTAGGACAGTAGCTGAAGTGTGTATACATATATATGCTGGTGTGTGTGAGTGAAGATAAGCTGAATGCCCCTTCACTGACCAAACATTCTGCAGCAAACACCCACATTCAAATGTCTGCAGTCGTTTTAAAGAATAATTCTACAAAATTTCTACATAATAAACTGGCTAAGATGTAAACAGAGTCAGTCAGAGTGGTTTGGTGTGAAACGCTCCGTTCTAGAGAAACTTACAGAGTCAGAACTGTTCACAGTGGTGGTGATAGGAACCAGACGTCCACCTCTAAAAGCTCCCTCACAGAAAGTTACTACATGAAATGGTTATGAATTCACTGACGTTGAGTGTGTTTACATGCGCTTAATAATCCAGTCATAATCGGATTTCTGCAGTTATCTGATTATTCAAATGGTCGTGTAAACAGCACACTCTGATTTCTTAGACTGGAGTAAAGTCTAGTAATCCGATTAAGAAATCTGATAAAAAGGCTGGATTTCAGCTCAGTAATCAGATTTCTCAGTGCAAGTAAACTCTTACTCTGATTTCTTTCGGATTTCTCAGTCTTCACATGCGCGAAAACAGACAGTGGTACCGGAAATAAGCAGCGGCAAACACTTTTGGAGTGACGCTGAAACCAAACACATGCTCGACAAAATGAAGGATTTAAATATTCTTCATCTTCTAGGTGATATACGTTAATATTTTCAGGTAAAGTTGCAAGGTTTCAAAAAAAAGCTGCGACATGAAGTTTTACATTACATTTACATCACGTCTTCTTCTGTGAGTTCATTGGTCGGTTGCAAAGCAAAGATCCAAATATTGTCTGACTCATGTAGACCCGGAGTTTCCCCATTATCGGATTACTCAAGTGCATGTAAACTCATTGATCAGATTACCGACAAAACCTGATTTTCTGCAGCTAACGGATTATGAAGTGCATGAAAATGCGCTCATTGTTTTACGATAGGTTTGAGAAGATTTTGGCCTTAAAATCCATTCATGGTGGAGGGATACATGCAGGGTGTTGTGAGGCAAATAGTCCGCAAAAATAGTCCCTTGTTTTTTCAGATTTACTAGTGTTTTACTGTTTTTTCTGTCACCATGACCGTAAAGAAATCTGAGTCTCTAAAATGAACCATTTCACACGAAACCACTCCAGATTCTTCTGTTTACATCTGTCCAGCCAAATGACCCAGAGTGAAGGGGAGAGAACAAACACAGTTACAGCACATTAACCAAACATCTCTGTTGGTGTCTGTTCGTACGTATAATATTAGCTGTTTCTGACTGAGCCTTCTGGGTAGCCAGTACAAGGTCTCCAACACGAGGTTGCCATTGAGCTGCAGATTTTAGCACGCTTGACTTAATTAATATGCATTTTAATGAGTGGTGAGGCTGAGGATGAGCTGCAAATATAGAGGAGGAGGCGAAAATCGACCTGATGTGATTAATACACTTAACTGCCTCAGTGAACCTGGAACAACTGCTTTTTAACACGAAGGACAAAGAGGCACAATTACTCTGAACATGGCTGCGGTTCTGTTTGTGAGAAGGAGTGCTGAAGACAAAGGAGCAACAAAGGAAAGACAGAGTATTGCACCTGAGAATTAGGCTCTCAGCAAGCTTCCCTTTTCATCTTCACAGATCTTCTGGAAGTTTCTTCACAGCGATTTCCCAAACTGCTTTTCGTTTAGCACCCGAGACTCAACTTTCAGTTTTTCTAGAGAGAATCTTTTCTTCTTTCTCTGCTCTTTTCTCCATGTTTACCACTGACTGACGCATGATCTGGGTGGATCTGTATATCAGCGCCTCTGCATTCTGATCAGCCTGACTACGGCTGACATTAAAACAGCAGATCCAATTAAACTCATCCCAAAAGTGTTCAGTGCTGCTTCCTCACTCCAACTCATCCCAAAGGTGTTCAGTGGAGCTTCTTCACTCCAACTCATCCCAAAAAAAGTTCATTAGAGCTTAATCACTCCAACTCATCTGAGTGTTCAGTGGAGCTTCATCCCTTCAACTCATCCCAAAGGTGTTCAGTGAAGATTCATCACTCCAACTCATCCTGAAGATGTTCAGTGAAGATTCTTCATTCCAACTCATCGCAAAATTGTTCAACAGAGATTTATCACTAAAATTTATTCCAAGGTGTTCGATAGAGCTTCATCACTTAAATGGATTCCAAAGGCGTTTGACAGAGCTTCATGGCTCCAACTCGTTCCAAAGGTGTTCAGTGGAACTTCATCACTCCAACTCATCCCAAAGAAGTTCTATGGAGTTTCATCAGTCCAACCCATCACAAAGGTGTTGAAACGGGCTTAATCACTCTAACTCATCCCAAAAGTGTTCAGTAGAGCTCTGTCACTCCAACTCATCCAAAAGGTGTTCAGTAGAGCTCTGTCACTCCAACTCATCCAAAGGTGTTCAATAGAGCTTCTTCACACCAACTCATCTCAAAATGTTGAATAGAGCTTGATCACTTCCACTCATCCCAAAGGTGTTCACTGGAGCATCATCACTCCAACTCATCCCAAAAGTGTTCACTGGAGTTTCATCCCTCCAACTCATCACAACGGTGTTCAGTGGAGCTTCATCACTCCAACTCATCCCAAAAGTGTTCAGTGGAGTTTCATCCCTCCAACTCATCACAAAGGTGTTCAGTGGAGCTTCATCACTCCAACTCATCCCAAAGGTGTTCCATGGAGCTTCATCACTCCAACTCACCCAAAGGTGTTCAGTGGAGCTTCATCACTCCAACTCATCCCAAAGGTGTTCAGTGGAGTTTCATCCCTCCAACTCATCCCGAAGGTGTTCAGTGGAGCTTCA